TTTATTACTACTACTACTACAGAAAAACAGCCCCATGGATTGAAGTTCTGCCCAAACGAGGACACAGTCAACTGTGCTTAGCTCTCTCTTATGCGGAAATCTCATTCCCCGAAGTAGGGATAGGTGTTGAAACTGTATTATTATACACTACATGAGTATCCCGGAATATACACCCCAGTGACTCAGCCATAGCTCCACTAACTTCACTGGAGACTCGTTTCCATTCTCCATAAGGACTATTTGTGGAAGGCTGAGAGCCCCGTGCCTCCTGACAAAATGTCTAACATACACAACTCCCCAGAGAAACGGCTTATTTGGACTCATGGTTTCAGTCCATGGTCACCTGACTCAATTGCTTTTAGTCGGGATGGCCCAGTACCAAATGACAGGAGCATACAGTAGGCCTGGCTACCCCATAGCATCTGGGGTGGGGCAGGAGATGTAAGGGAGGGAAGAAAGGACAGTAGGGCGGGGGGGGGGGGGATAGAAAACTGAGAGACAAGAGAAACAAGAAGTAGATGGGGTGGTCCAAATAATATCACTTAAGGGCACATGCCCAGTGACCCAGTTTCCCTCCTCTGAGTCCTACTTTATGAGTAATGGATTGCATCCAAGCCTTTAACACATGGTCTTAGTCAGGCAGTTATTTAAGATCAGGACCATACCACCATTAACTGCAAGCAAGCCACAATTGAGGATGGCTGCTGCAGTACTCTGTATACACAAGGATATTCAAATGAGGGAGGAAGGAGCCAATCAGAATTCTGTGACCTCCAGTCATTTTGTTTTTCCTTGAGCCCCAGAACAAGCTGTATCTCTCTGCAGTTTTATCCCTTCACTAAGGCATTCACAGTAAACAGATAACTGCAAGGAAGACCTAACTGTTAGACAAAGGGATAACCCCAAGTACCAGACATGGAAACGCGCTGACGAAGAGGCTTGGTTGTAGGGGATCTTTCATTCAACAGAAAGGAAGCAACGCCAAGAGGACATGACCCCAGAATGGGTATGTGAGGAAGGCACACCCGTACCTTCCTCCTCTCACTCCAGAATTAACACTACCTATCATGGCATGAAGATTTTTATGGTATGAAAAGATGTAAATTTGAAGCAATTTCTAGAGTGTTTGGAGAAATCCAACCTAAATATGAATTTTCTGAAAATACGCTCTGTTTGGGTTCAGCAGATGTCAGTCCAACTCAGGGAAATGCTTTCTAACCTGGTCCACCAAGACAAGCATCTATCTGTGGTCCTCCCGATAGCTACGGCTGGTGAGAAGAGGGTGACAGGCTCTGCTGAAGGTGCCAGAAAAGCCGAGTGCATGCTTATCATGTCAGTAACTGCATCAAATACTGATAAATAGTATTAAAAAGTGGGCATTCAACAAAATGCTGGAAACTATCAAGTATCTGTTTAAATAATTACTATAATACTTTAATCTTTACAATACCCCTGAATTTTAACATGTCCTGGTCTGGGAACAAAAATACAAGTATGGACTAGCATAAGACACTGTTACCAAGGTTCAATTGATGCCTGTACAGCCATTGTTCCTAGCATATAACAGCCTCTACCTGGGCAACACACACAGGCACAAAGGAACACACACGTGTACAAGAAATGAAGGTGAGGTTAAGGTTTTCAGTGGTTTTAGTTTCTGGTTTTGTGTTGTGTTTGATTTTTGTGCAGTGCTGGAGAATGAACATGAAGCTTGTTCATCCATGACAGACAATTGTTCTACCCCTGACTTACATCCCCATTCCAAGGTATTTTAAAATTTTAAAACAGCTCCTGCCACAGTCTGTATAAGAAATAGTCATTTCCTCATTATAATAGTAGATATACTGCCACACTTCATCACGTTGTCTTTCCAACTGTACTCCTAGGGACAATTCTAGCTAACCAATAGTTTGAAATAATGATGAGATGAAGGGTACAAGTCAATACTGCTGTGTCAGGGCAAGGGTACTCGGATCTAGCAAACACAACTATACCGTCACATGATTCAAAAAATAATAGAACCCTGTGCCAATGGTTTTCATGGGTCATGATTTCCTACAGTTATCAGAGGTATAAAATAATCAAACTAATACATTGCTATTGAGGTTGAAACAATGTTACCAATCTTACTAGTCACAGACAAATGAAAAGAAAAGGCAAGTACAAGTAATAAAAATTAGAAATGCAATCATAATATAGTATCCTTTCTGTATTATAATATACTACTAAATGCTATATATTAATGTAAGCTTAAAATGTTATATGCATATATTTATAGACACAAATATAACAGAGAAAATGCTTTCTTTGTATATTCCTTATTATCCCATAAATTACTAATTATCCCTAAATTCTGTTTCTCTATGTCACTTCTTCCTGGGCCTCCTCGTTCCATTGCTTCTATTGAATCTACCCTGTGCAGAATTTATTCCAAAACTTTCTACACAGGACAAGAAAAGTAACTCAATTTGTCTTTTTAGAGAAGTCCCAAAAGAAAGGCATGAGACCTCCTGCATCCCGAGACTTCTGGCACTTTCCTTGCTCTCCCTTCCCCACCGAAGCCTCTGAGGTGTCAGTGCTCTGCAGCACTCTCAGTGAGCGGTCACGTGCCCCCGGTGAGAACGCCTGGGTCTTCAGCTTCCCCCTCACTGACACTGCCCAGCTCTTGTTCCATCTGTTCCCTCAGTGTGACCCTGAGCTTCATGGAGGTGCTGCGTGCTTACTGGAGAAATTGTCTGTTGGTTCAGCTTTACTCTACTCGTTTCTCTAATTATATGGTGGGTTTCAAAGCCTACGGCACTACCATCTGCCTAATTCTATCAAATTTGACCTTTAAACTATGTTCAATTCTATTACAATAACAAAAAATATCTTCATGTGGAAAGAGAAATATCAAATACAACAAACAGGTGGGTCCCAGCTTTTCTTGATAAGGATGTTTTAGCTAATTCCTTTTTAAAATCTATAAATGAATATTCAAAGGATATTGTTAATGTTTACATCACGATGTACACATTGACTTTTAAAACTACATGACCTCCATTAGCAATAAGCACACATAGCAATCAATCATGGTTTCTAAGTTTCATTCTGCAATTGGCGGGGGATGTCTAGAGAAATTGTCTAGACACAAGGGTGTCTAGAGAAATGACAGATTCTAGACCAATGGCAGAAAAGTGTAATTATAAACCAAATTATTGTATAGAATCAGAAACTACAGGAATTTTCAAAACAAGGAAAGGAGGCTATGTATAAACTGAAAACAGAAACAACCCAAAGAGCTTGTACCTATAGGAACAATTATAACAACAGGCAAAAGGAGCATTGTAGCTAGGAATCCCAGAGAACATACAGGATGATCACTCCAATAAAATCAGATAGGTAGTATTTTTTAGCATGAGATCAACTCATGTAATGTCTAGTATGATAATTTCTGCAAACCATTACAGGCTGACATATGGTACCAGGTAAATACAGTAGAAGGCATACACTTGCCTGAAGATGGTAGGAGCTTGACTGCTGTCTACAGCTCTCGGTTTCTTTTACATAACACTAGAGCTGAAGGTTCTCTGGGAAGTCAATGGTGGAGCTGTGACACAGGTAAACCCACCTTACGGTAACACATGATGATCACAAGCAAGGGTCTGGGGCTACATAACCAAGTTTTAGAGGTGCTGCAGTACTATTTACTTCTGCTTTATTGACACTGGATCAGCTCCGTAGCATAAAACGTAATGAAACTTAAGTGCCAACAGTACTGGAGCAGTTCAGTGGCTTTGCAGGGTCTGATCCCACAGAAACTTTGAGATCAACGCTTGTTAAATGCCATGTGTTTTTAGCAAGGTACCATCTCCCTCTCACTCTTTAAACCCTTAGAGCATCAATTTCCAAAGATTATTAAGTATCAGTAAAGTCTGAAAATTATTCCGTTTCAAAAGATCACAGAATATTTTTATAACACTAAGTGCCAGCCAGCCCTGAAAGTCTGAGTTCCAATTACATTTTTGTAAGTGAGAAGCAGCAAGCATCCTGGATGGGAATGCCTCTTCGACAAGCTGCATGTTAAAATGCCCCATCTCAGTAAAGCAGCACGTAGACAGAGGTGAGAGCTGGGGAAGGCAAGGGGCTCATCCGGTTGTTGCCCTCATGAGTGAGACCAGTGTCCGGACCACGGGCTCACCACACTGCCAGGATCCTGACCAAGGACTTCCCAGCTCTAGGAGGAAAAGTAAACGTCTCTTTCTGAGGCCACACAGCCTACTCGATTCGTTACACTCAAACTAAGGCAAACACTTTGGTCAAAAGGCAAGAATTGCCTTGGCTTTAAGCTTAGGGGTTCCTAAAAATGAGTGGCCTTTCCCTCTGAGGATCAACGCCTGGCTGTTAAATTCTAAAATATTTCCACTGGAAGCAAACTGTGAGACGACACCTGAACAGCGCTCATTCTTCAGTGAAATGCTTTGTGAACCTGCAGACTTAGAAAACTTCTCAGGAGCACAGAAAAGTCCACAGACATCTCTAAGGGGGTGAAATACAAAGGGTTTGCAATGATAAATTTTTCTAACTCCAAAAACATTTTTTGTATGTGTGGTTTTTTTGAGACAGGGTTTCTCTGTAGCTTTGGAGCCTGTCCTGGAACTCCCTCTGTAGACCAGGCTGGCTTCAAACTCACACACATCCGCCTGCCTCTGCCTCCCGAGTGCTGGGATTAAAGGTGTGCACTACCACTGCCCGGCCTAACAATCTTATTTTTTTAAAAAAGAAAAAAGTATTTGTTTTGTTTTATTTCTAAAAATAAGTTAAATGATTTCGTCTTTGCTTGCTGGGCACTCTTAACTCAAGAGAGTCTGTGTCTAGTTTTCTCTCTTCCAAAATATTCAACCATGGGAGAAAATGCATAAACTCTCACTACAAACACCATCCACCATCATCCGCACAGTGTGCAGCTGTGCTGAAGGCTAGTCCTTCTGGGTACTCCCTAATATATGGGGGGTCCTTACCGAGCTGGGGCTGGAGTGCCGCCGCACTTTGGGTGACTCTTTGCCGGCCAAGGAAGACTTGAAGTTAATGCAGGCATTATTCTCCGAATGCACCCTTTTGACTTGGTTGGCAGGCTTCTCGAACGGGTCGAAGCTGCTCTGTGTCCTCTGGACTCTGACTTTCTTGTCCTCAGGGATGGTGTCCAGGTGCTTGATCACTGAATCCGTCCCCTGGCAGTTCCGTGTAGACATCTTTGTGACACATATCTGGAGAATAGAAGGGATGACTTGAGTGAGCCTCACTGAAACAGGATGGTCACTACACACACTGATCTGTCCAGGGCGCGTTTCAACTTCAGAGAAGCCCACTTTATGACCTATACTCACGATACAGAAAATTCCTTATAACTCTTCTGTGTAAACTCGCAGTTTGCACGTTAAAAAAACAAAGTTTATCTATCTAATACAAACAAACAAAAATACCTTACGGCATAGCCCGTGTATCCTACGAGGTTCTGGATTCTGTCTCAGGTTTTATCATCTGACTGCAAATGGGTATTTCTAAATCATCAAAAGATTTAGAATGGATAACCCATTTCATAAAACAAACAAACAAACGAGGCCACAGTTAGCTGGGATGGAATGGGCACCGACTGACCAGGGCAGGAGCTGACAGAAGCAGGAGCTGAAGAAAGCTAAAGGAGGATGGGGCTACTTTGTTTCAAACATTTAAGTCTTAAAACCCAGGTTGAACATTTCCACCATCTTGACTGACTGCATGTCAAGTGGAGTGAAGTAGTAGTAGTTAGGTGATAATAATGAGAACGATTGTGGGTTTTCCTTTCTGATTTCAAAGCTAAGGGATTAGACTACCAGCGAAAGACAGAAGCTTTACACGGTTTACAGCATTTACCGGATGTTTCCCTTCAGCACCGCCGTTCCCCTCCGGCGCCCGCAATGGCTCGCACTGCCCAGCCTGCTCCACTCCCACACTTCACTTTAGTCTTCTGCTGCTTTGCTCCCCTTTACCACACTGGGTTCCGACTCTCACTCTCCCTAGGCTCTGGAAGCTCTGGAGTCAACTGTGCAACTCTAGCTGTCCTGGGAGGACCTTAGGTGTCCCCCAAAGGCCATGTGTGACAGGCGTGTTGGTGCCCACCCTGAACATTACTGTGAGGTGGTGGAAGTGTAAGTAGGTGGGCCCAGCAGAAGGCAGTCAGACCACTGGCTGTGTGCATTTCCTTCATTTCTGGACTCTAGAACGTTCTCTCCTCCTTTCTCTCCCTTTCCCTGCCACTCTGCTTCTCTCTCTGCTTTGCTCTTCTTCTCGGCATGACCTGCAGCAACATAACCACAACGTGAGCGTCTTTGCTCTACCAAGCACCAGAGCCGTGGTGCTGCCTTGTCACAGACCCCCAAGCAGCAGTCAACTGTCTGAAGGCTGGGATGTGCAAATCTCGGCTGGTTTCAGGTCCTCCGGGGTATCTTGTCACGGCAACAGAAAACCTACACACTAACTCTAGAGAAACAATTTCTGAATGGAATTGCTTTTACCGCTTCTCTTAAAAAGGTTCCCTACATAATATCAAATGAGAAAAGCTGGGCAACATTTACTAAAAGTCCGTATTGTTTAGCTGGAAGACCAACTTTGGAATAACATGCGGCTTGAGTCCATTTGCAGAGTAACTGTATCTATGTATACCAATACACACACTGCTGTAACCACAAAGAAACAGCTATGGTGTCAATGTTTCAGAGCGTGTATAAACACAGTGGAAAACAAATAAAACAGAATATCAGATATCTGCAGACACAAAAGTAATTATTATTAAATTTATAAACTTTTATTTGAATTAAGCAATAAATATGCCCAATTGTATGCTAAGAAATAACAAGTAAAATGTGTGCATAAAATAAATCAAGTACTTAAAGCTTCAGGAAAAAAATTAATTCGATATTCAGCATCTACCCTGTTCCAAGAACTTGCCACCATTGTTAAGTATAGGCTGAACTATGACTAAACCAAATGAGACAGGTCCTTCTGAGCACACCTCAGAAGTGCTGAGGGTGTTTTTGGAGTTTGTGGTTTCTTGTTATTTATTATTTATTTTTTATGTACATGTGTATGTGTCTCTGTGTATGTGTGTGTGCGCACATGCATGTTCGTGTATGTGCCACATTTGTGTAGTATCTTGAGAGGCCAGAAGAGGATGCTGAGTTACCAATGGTCCCAAACCATCAATACGGATGCTGAGAACCAAACTTGGGGCCCCAGGAAGAACAGCAAGTGATCTAAACCGTTGAGCCATTTCTCTAGCTCTGAAGGTATATATTTTTAAAGATTCAATATAGAATCTTCTACACATGATCAAAACTTAATAATATATCATAAATATGCTAAGTGCATTCAATATTTTAAGGATTTGTCTTCTTTTTAAAGATAGGAAGTCAATAAATAAGAAACTATCACTATCACTGAGTCAGTCAACAGACACATGAGCCTCAAGTGTCACTAAACCATAAACACAAGAGGTTCTAAGACAAATTCATAAACATGCAATGCTAATATATATAAATATAATACATAGTATATTTACATATAAAATACATATACATAGACATAATACTAAATGAACACAGGAAAGAAGAAAGATATAAAGATATAAGCTTGGAATCAATCTTAAGGTACTTAGAAGACTGGATAAAATTCAAAATAAGAATGAAATTAAATAACAATTCAATATCAAAATGGAAATAAAAAACACTAATGAAAATGAATAAAAATTAAAAACAAAGTTAAAAATTGACAAACATCTACGTAGACTGACAAATGGAAAAAAAAACTCAATTTCTTTTAGTTTAGACTCCAGTTACTTGAATTTGTAATAAATCAGCCTGTCATGGTAGTTTTTAGTACCACGCTTTTCAGGCACCCTACTAGCAGACCGTATATGAGAGCTACTACTTCTCTTTCTAAGGTTTTTATTTTAGTTTATATGTAAGCATATTTTGCCTGCATATATGTATATGCACCACATGTATGCTTAGTGCCCACAGAGCCCAGAAGATGATGTTGGAACTGGAGCAGCAAACACTTGGAAGCTGCAAAGTGGATGCTGGGAACATCCCAGGCCCCCTGCAAGAGCAGCAGGTGCTCTTCACTGCTGAGCCTTCCCTCCTGCATCTGAACTTCAACAGTCCTTTGCCTAAGTCCATGAAAGGAAGGGCCACACTATGTTACTGCAGCCTTTCTCCAGTCATGCTCAGTCTTCTTGTAATAAATCTTATACAAAAAAGATTCATCCAAATAATTAATCATCATATTTTATTTAAAAAAAGAGTTAAGGCTTCAAGACAATTACCCACAAGCTATTGTTTAAAAAAGCACAATGCTGCTACAAAAATAACAAATACATATGTTCATAAATAGCTATCATCAAAATTCTTCTGCTGAAGGTTTTAATAGGTGGATTTTAAAACAATATCTGAATCTCTTGCCTTTGAATAATTCTCTCCCTTTTCTATGCAAATATAATATCATATGATTATATTGCTTTATATACAAACACTAGATATTACCTGGTGGGATGAGCAAAACTAGGAGAGCTCTCCAAAACCAAGAAACACAGAAAGCTGAGGGCTGACTAGTCTGAAAGGCGGCCATGACCACGCTGAGAGCTGTGTGATGCGACCATAAGGTACAACAGTCTTAGCCTGACAACTGTCAGGAGAATGGGGAACACAGAACTACACACACAATAAAACTAGTTCTGTGAGCAAGGAAGAGGACCTTGAGCTCCAGGTGAAAACCACCACCCAGACAACGTGACTTTAGCCTGGTAAGATCCCAGGCAAAGAAACCCTATTGAAACTGTGAATAATAAGCCAGTGCCTGTGAGGTACTACGTTATCCAAGGGTAGACACCTATTATGTGCATTTTGCTGAAACAGCCTGAAGCACTCTGATACCTGAGCAGAATGTACAAAAACCAAAAACAAACAAGCAAAAACACTAAACAAATTTGATACACTGTATCAAATCCATGCTCAAATAAGCAATGGTTGTCATGATTGCTGTCACTATATAGGGCTATGTACTGGGCACCATAAACCGTAACTTCATGAGTTACAAAGCTCATGAACAAGTTTCTCCACATAATTAAGGTTATACCGAATTTATGCTGGTCTCCAGTTCAGCCAGGCTGCCACAAAACATACAGGTAACCATACCTTCCCTGTGCATGCATCTTCATCAAGGGAAGAAATGTATACTGAGTTTTCCACGTAACAAAAGAAACTCTTCTAGGTAGGTTTCATGTTTCCAGTATTTAGGACACAGGACTTAAACGTGATCTGCCCAACATGATCTGGTGTCTATGAGTACAACAGAAAGCCGGGCTCACTCGGGTCCTCCTGGCATACCTGGACTCAGATCTGCTGCCCTCACACACTCCTGTGAGAGTTCTCTTGGAGACCCCTAATTAAAGAACTCTGGTTCAGAAAAGGACCCAGCAAGGTGAAATAATAGCAATGCCCACGCCTTGCTCTTAGCATGAAACCACTGAGTGATACAGACCCAGCAGAAGAGGTCTGGATGACAGATTACATGTAGGTGCCATTCCCTTGCACCCACATCTTCCTGTGAGTCCCTCCAGCCCCTCCGTAATCTGTTAGCAAGTATGAATCGTGATCACAGATATAACCTCATAAGTAAGCAGAGTTAGAGACAGAACCCCACAACTGGCAAAGGAGACTTCTGCAGCCCGTAAACAGTAACCCTTTAGTCCATTCTCACTGTGTGCCTGTATTCTGGCTGATGTTATAGCTCCCACTGGAAAAAATAGCTTCCAACTCACAGGACATAAGTGCCGGGGGTGGGTGGGAGAAAAGAATTAAAGAAGAATCAAAAAAAAATGAAGCCTAGGAAACATCCAGCTATTGACTGGAAAGCAGGAGGCCTTTTTAAAATAGCAGAAGAACATTCGTCAGATAAGAGCATCGGTCTAACAGAGCTCCCACTGATGATACAGTGGTTGGTTATTCAACTATCAGAAAGAAACATAATACTGTGTTTAAATCAAATGAGTTACTGAAAAAGCATGGGTTCAATGAGATTTCAAATGACAAAAGCCACTAAAGTAGGAATAGCAATTACAATAGGAAAGGATGAATCCAATACAATATAACCAATCTTAACACAGAAAATGCCAAGTAGTGCTAGAACAAGCAGGAAATTTACTGAAGACATGGAAGGATGCTCACAGGTT